AATTTCCTCAGCCCAGAGGATTCTCCATCCCCGTCGTCTTCAAGACCCCCTTTTGATGTGGAGCCACCTGTGAGATGGACAGACAAGGACCCACAAGCTGTCTGTGAACCCAGGCACTCCAGGCTGATGCCACTGGCCTGTGCACCTTCAAGAGTACCCCTAAATGGACTGCCAAATTCTCTGGTTTTCCCTGGGTTATCATAAAATATTATCTGTATGATTAATGACAATAAAACACACTTCATGGCAAGAAAAAAGAAGTTAACTAACGGAAATCTAAGAGCAACTTAGTATCAATTTAGTCTTGGAATCCCATTTCTGATCGTGCTTGAATTGGACAAAATTTCGTTTCAAAGGATCACAGAGAAATATTAAGTAAAACAATGCAACTTTGATTTCCAAACCACATTACAGAGGAGTGGCATCTTATTTGCAGGATGAGGCTCAGAAATAAGCGTAGAAAAGTGTGGGACCACGGGAGAACAAGTTGGTGCCACCAAAATGGTCTTGGCAACTCACCCCTGTGTTTTCTGCCCTACTCCTAAGTCAGCCTGTTGGCTGATTGACCCTTCTCTAGCAGATGTCTCCATGAGCCTCTTACAAAGTTTCAGCACCCACGTCCAAGGCAAGGCAATCACCTAAGGACCAGCCTCATCAAGCATCCACACTGCATTTGTCACGGCCAGCGCTGATGGTTTAGATGTGTAGAAATGCACTGCAAGAGAATATTCAAACAGCCGCTGCACCGGATTGAACAGTGTCTCCTAAACTCATGTCCATTGGACCTGAGAATGAGCCTCACTTGGATTGGGGCCTCTGCATTTGTCATCAGTGAGGACAAGGTCATACTGAGTTAGAGGGAAGCCTGAATCCAATATGACTTGTTTTCTATAATAAGAAAACACACAGTAGAAAAAGTAAAAATCCCAGGACTCCCCAACTTCTTATGCAAAGGCAGGGAAAGACCTTAGACACCTGAAAGGACCAGTACACAGACCATTTATTAAGGAAAGTCCTTGCTGACCTCCTGTAAGTCAGACACGCAAAGCTGCAGAAATCACAATGATGCGGTACTGGCATGAAACACACATGGGAACCAATGAAACAATCTGAACACCCAGAAAAGAAGCCGAACATATGTGGTCATCTGACATTTGGCCAGGGCACCACGAATACACAATGGGGAAAAGATAGTCTCTTCAGCAGAGAAGAGAAAACTGGATAGCCACATGCAAAAGAATAAAATTGACCTTTATGTCACACCATACATAAAAATCAAGTCAAAATGAATTAAAGGCTTAAACACAAGGTCTGAAACCATAAAGTTCATAGAAGAAAACATAGGGGGAAATCTTCCTGACATTGGCCTTGGGAGTAATTTCCAGGTTATCACACCAAAGGCATACGTAAATAAAGCAGTAATAAACAAGTGGAATTACATTAAAATTTAAAACTTCTGGAAAGAAAAGGAAGCAAGCCACAAAATGAAAAGGCAGCTTACAGAATGCGTGAAGATACTAGCAAATCATGTCTCTCATCAGGGGTTGATATCTAACAAATATAAGGAACTCCCATAATTCAATAGCCAAAAAGCAAATGACCTGATTCAAAAATGGTCAAAATATTTGAATAGACATTTCTCCAAAAAAGACATACAAGTGTCCAGCAGGTGGGTACGTGAGAAAGTGCTAAGCATCACTAACCAGGGAAAAGCAGATGAAAATCACAAGGAGATATTATCAAAAAAGTGCTGGATGTGAAGAAATGGGAACCCTTTTACACCACTGATGGGAATGTAGATTGGTACAGGCTTCATGGGGAAGAGGAAAAGAGGGAGACAGTGGACCCAGGGCAGAGGGTTTCAGTAATGCAAAATGCGTAAGTCCTAAAGATACACCACATGGCATAGCCCACAGGTAACAATACCAGATTATATACTTAAAGGTTTGTTAAGAGGATGAATCTTATGTTAAGTATCCTTATAACAAAATAATAAAAATAGTACATATAGAAGGCAGAAGTAAAGGTTTGGGGGTGATGGCAGTGATTATGGTGACAGTTTCACAAATGTATACTTATCTCCAAACTCATCAAGTTGTAGATATTATTGATAAATATGAACAGTTTTTGTATGCCAATACCTCATGAGATTTCTTTTAAGGGTAGGGAGCCTTTATTAGAATGTGCAACTATTATATTTCAGCATATGTACAGCATGCAGCCTCCCTAGTACATATTTGCCCCCTTAATCCAGAGTCCTTACAAGTGGTTATTGTCATCCTAAGTTTCTGACCAGGGCACCTGGCTTGCCTCGACCCCTGCAGTTTTTAAGGAGCAGAGCCGCTGGTCTGACACCAAAGCCCATACCCTTCCTCCAAGGCACACCCATCTGTCTTTAAGTTTCTCAATTTCCACCCTCTCCAATAATCCTGAAACTTGAAAGTCTTTGTGTCTGTGTGTGAGCAGGCAGATGCTGAGGTACAGGGAAGGCTGGGGGTCACCTGAGTGCTTACTGCGGACCCCGCACTCTGCAGAGGTCAGTCCCTTAGCCAACCAGCCCTGTTGTCCATTTGTTTCTGGCAAAGTGGAATGCCAAGACACGATGGGGCCAAGGGCTGCCTGAGCACATACCTGTTGAATAATATTGAGGGAGAAGTGCCATATTAAACAAACAGTTCCCCGCCGGACATATTGAGAAAAATTCGATGTTACAACCATCCTGGTACTCATGGCTCCATTGCGCCAGCAGTAGACACTGAGAAACTCTAAGATCTTAAGTCTTTATGTGGAAGGACGCTGGAAGGGAGGGGAAGAGGAAGAACGAGGACCGCGGTGTCTCCTTAACAGCAAGGAGGTTTGAAAACAGACTTCCCAGAGTGACCACAGCGAGTCTCTGGAGCCCTGGGCGCCTCAGCTCCGCCCCCCTTCCTGTCTGCCGCACGGTGAAGGAGCCCACGTGAGTCCCGCGCCCGAGAGCCAAAAGATGCTGGAATCCAGATGAAGCCCCGGCGGGGCCCTCCCAAAAGCAAACCGCAGCGGGTGTCAGGGTGGATTGGCAAGAAGCACCCAGGCCTGCCCTCTGTGCGGGTGCCAGAAATATTTCTGCAGCATTCTGATGAAAGTTTCTGATGGAATTAATTTTCTGTCTTTTTAAAAAGTTTCACTATGCCTGGATATAGATTTGATGAAACTAATAAAGCAATATTTGATTTGCTTCTTCAACCCACAGGAAGGTTAAGTGAGATTTTTATCATGGACACTGCAATCTCGTCCTGCAAGAAACTTTCAAGAGAAAGTCCCCTCTTCCTAGAAAAATGCTTGACAGCATCTTGAGGTTTTTTTTAAATTACAAAGTAATATGAGGGAACGACTTTTTAGGTTCCACTGTTCTCACTTCCAAGGTCAAGTTCAAGTTGTAGGAGAGCCCCTCACCCAGGGGGCGTGCTGAACACCCTCCTGAGCCCATTAGGTGAGAT